CCACCGGAAGGCTCACACAAGCAACTAGTCTGAGCTCGCAGGAGCTCACAGAGACTGAACCAACAACCAGGGAGTCTACATGGGACTGACCTATGTATTCTGAATGTATGTTATAGTTGTGTAGTTTGGTCCTCTTGTGGGACTCCTAATAGTGGGAAGAGGGGTTGTCTCCAACTCTTTTACTGGCTTTTGGGACCTTACTTATACTGGGTCACCTTGCCCAACCTTAATAGATGGGGAGGTGCTTAGCCTTACTGCAACTTGATATGTGTTTGGTTTTTGTTTTTATTTTTGGCGGGGGGGGGGGGGAGGCAGGCTTCGAGACAGGGTTTCTCTGTATAGCTTTGGAGCCTGTCCTGGAACTCTTTCTGTAGCCCGGACTGGCCGTGAACTCACAGAGATCCATGTGTCTCTACCTCCTGAGTTCTGGGATTAAATTCATGCACCGCCACTGACCAGTTGATATGCCATGTTTTATTGATACTCATGGGAGACTTGCCCTTTCCTGGATGGAGACAGAAGAGAAGATTGGAGTTTTGGAGGGGGAATGGAAAAGGGAGGTTGGGAAGGGAAGACTGGGGGAGGCAGCAGCCAGGATGTAAAATAAATACATATAAAAAATAATACTCTCTTCCAAATAAAATTAGTTTTTTATTATAATTATTAGGAAAGATTTATTTTCCTTATTATTGTTTTTATTTTCGATGTCAGTTCCGAGACTTACTATAATGAACAATAAGACATTACTGAAACAGAGATGGTAAAAAATGATGTAATTTGGGAAAACAAATGGTTATTTGGTTGACTGTGGTTATTGAGATGACATACGCTGTTTATCAAAAACAAAAAATTAAGCCAGAAACATTTGCAGGAAGTTTGATTCTCAATAACCCAGAGCAATTTTAGTATTTTAATATGACACCCTGAAATAGAACTTTCCAAACAAAAACTACTACTTTACATGGCTTCTAGAAGGGCCATAGACTCAGACTCATAATGACTACTCCTCAAAATTAACACATGATTTTAATACTTCCTACTATTTTACAGCAAGAATAAGCCCCACTTACTAGATAAAAGAAACATAACTTGTTCAATATTATTCAATATTGCCTTCTATTGTTCCCAGTCAATGTCATAAATCTCTGTGCATTAGGACAGTTTACAATTACACTCTGTTCTGTGACTATAATATCTATAGTTTTTATAGATATATAAAATATATATGTGCATACAATGATTTGGGGAACAGGACTTCAACTGTACAGGGAAAAGCCCAGGGATTAGGATTAACAAATGAAACTCCATGAAATTATTAGTTTCTGTACCACAAATTAAGAAGACAACCCATAGAAAGGGAAAAATATTTATCAGCTATACTTTAAACAGCATGTTAATATCTAGAATATATTTTTCAAAAAAATTGTAAAGTTTAAGTACCATGAGCTGGGGAGATTTCTCAGCAGTTGAGAGCATTGGTTGAGCATCCAGAGGACCTGGGTTGGATTCTCATCACCCACTGACATCTGTCTATAACTCCACCATATCTGACTCCTCTTCTGACCTCTGCAGGAACTACATGCATGTAGTACACGAGTGCACATGAACTCAAAACACCCAAACACATAAAATAAAATTTTAGTTAAAAATAAATAATAATTTTTAAAGTAGCACACAAACAAAACCCCCAGTTAAGATAGTCTGATGAAGGAAAGAAACCTTACTCAAACAAAGGACATGAAGTATTTTAAGGATTGTTCTAATCCTCTAGCCAACAGGGGAATGCAAATTAGGACTACTTGACAAGTCCAACCCACTCCAGTCAAAATGACTGTCATCAAGAAAACTGAGGACAACAGGTATGGAGTGGATAGGAGGAAACAGAAACACTTATTCTCTGATGGGGCAGTGGAAACTAATACAGACCCATGGAGAGAAAGTGTGGAGAGTTCTCAAAAAATAAAAACACAGCCAATGGAAACACCAAGTGATGCAGTTAAGCCACTCGTGGGCCCATTCCCAAAGGGTTCTATATCCTAGCACACAGATATTTGCATACCCATGTTGATTTCTGCTGTATTCATGATAGTGGAGAAATGGGACCAGTCTAGCTGTCAATCAGTTCATAAATGGATAATGAAAATTTCATACACATATATGTATATATCATATATATGTACATAATATATATTTATTTATATACACACAATGGAATTTTACTCAAATGTTGAGAAAAATTAAATTTTCAGGAAAATGGTTGCACCTTAAAATAAGTATTAATTAAGCAAGGTGACCTAGACTCATAAAGACAGGCATGTGTGTTCTCTCTCAAATGCAGAGGCTGGCTTCAGTGTTCATATATGTATATGGGTATACAAAGAAATAAAAAGGAAAGCATGAGAACATGGCAAGGAGGTGCTGAGGAAGAGAAGGAAAGAAATAGAACATATACTATATAACCAGAAAGGAGGGAGATGGGCATAGAAGGGTAGGAAGGAGACTAAGGGAATGGGGGAAGAGAATTAGGGAAGAAGACCAATAAAAAAATGCCATAAAGGAACCCAATATCTTGCATGCTAAAAAAAAATAGGAAAAAAAAGATTGAAATGTGGTCTTCTGACTGAGCAACTGGAATTTTGCATTAATCTTTATCAACTTATATAATCACCTGTGACTGACAGATGCCACCACACTTCACACTGCAGCCACAGCGCTTATATTTTCTTTTCTACCAAACAAGGAGATGTGATACGTTATTGTGTTAAAAGTCTAAATGGAGCCAAAAATGTATTTGACATGCTATAGCTGCTTCTGGTTATCTAGCTATCAAACCAAAATGTGTTTTAAAAAAAATTGTCATATTTTGTAAGTCTAGAGCTGAGCATGCATGCAGACTCCCATTGCCTTCAAATACCTCACCTGCCATGTTAGTAGTCCTTTCCCTTCTGTGTCTCAATGTCCTAAAGCACCCAGTGAAGGCAGTGATCCACATGATGTAAGCTTGCAGAGGAAAGGAATCATTTGAGACTCATGTTGAACCCTCAGATAACATGAACTGCTATTTAATGGTCGAATGTTGAGACTCGTGTTGAACCCTCAGATAACATGAACTGCTATTTAAGAGTCGAATGTTGAGACTCGTGTTGAACCCTCAGATAACATGAACTGCTATTTAATGGTCGAATGTTGAGACTCGTGTGGAACCCACAGATAAACATGAACTGCTATTTTTTTTTCTATATGGTGACAAGGAATAGGTGCTACAGAGGTGAGCGGGGAGTGGAAGCTGGGCAAGAGCCATGTCATTTGTTGAATGCATTGAAACAATAAGATCATGCCCTAGCCATAATAAGATTAGAGAGGGTCTTCCATTTGAAGAAATTTTACTTTAAGAAAGTCTGTCATCTTGATCCTTCAGAGCGAGCCTCCACATTCTCTAGGCATTGTGGGGCTATTGGGCAAATGACCAAATAGTTTGCTCTGACTGGATTACGGGTGTGTAAGACAGGAAGAAACATGTTCAGATAAAAGGTTTCCTATTTGTTAATGGCTTGTGAAATCTGCCCATGATTCTGCATTTTACTTTTTAACTTAATTATTTATTTTATGAACCAAGACCAAAAAGCTATTTAAAGGGTCAAAATGTTCCTGTTTGGCAAAATATTTACGAACCTTTGACATTTTCACTAATCCTCAGAGAACACAATGTGTCATTCCATAGTTGTGCTTTTGCCCTTACACGAGTTGCGTGTTTAAGACAATGGTGAGTGGGTAATACCACCGAGGGCTGCTGTCAGGATCCTATCTTCCATTCCTCATTATATTACCAAAGCCAAATTCACATCCATGAGAGTTAACCGCAAGCACTTGGTGCTACAGTAACTTGCACTGGTTTAAGAAATAAAGTATTTTAGATACACGTCAACCCTTTGGAAAGTAACCCAAGGATAATGAAATAAGATACCTTAAGAACTTCTTAACCTAGTATTTGTAAAAAGAGCTAATGAGACAAGGGTTTCTTCAAAACAAAAACCCATGAAGAAAGTGAAAAAGGATCGATAAGAAAAAAAGAGGAAAAGAAAAGAAAAGAAAAAACTCTGCGAAGTTTTGTGCCTTTGCTCATACATGTTGTTTGTTAGCGTGAGTCCTAGAGAAGACCAAATCCTGTCTGAAGCACACGCGTGGGGCTTTGTTAATGTTCTCCCAGGGCAGAGTTTAACCACAGTAACAGATTACATCTTGCATTCCAATTTGCATTCATTAAGATGCAATTTTTAAAATGGTTGTAAGGGTGGATGCCTCTTCTAGAACTTCCCAGCTAGCTATGGTTTCACATTCCTGAAACCATAGTCTCTGCTCTTGGTAAAAAAGAAAAGAAAGGAAATGTTCTCAGTCCGCCCATCTGACTTTTGGGTGAAAGCCTGTGAATGGATGAGAACTTGTCTTCTCAGATCTTCTTCAGCTCTTCCTCCAGTCCAGCCTGAGCATATGTGTTATTTGATACAGTTGTAGTCATAGAGATGATTTTTGTTTGATAAATAAGTGAAATAAACAGTTACAGAAAAACTAGACAAGATAAACTTTACACGTATGAATAGCTTCCTTTCAAACACTGCTCTCTCGGTCTTGCTTTTTGAGCTGTCTCATTAGGTAGCCTCACTGAAAGCAATGAGCATTTTTCCTAGAAAACACTTTATTTATTATTTGCAATCGTGTGAATGCCTGGAGAAATGATCTACGTGTGTAGAAAGGAAAGGGGTGATGCTGGGGGTGGAAGAGACAGTCCTAAGGAAAGTGATTGCAAACTACAAACAGACATGAAGATGTACGTACATACATGAATAACAATAAATCTTTTGAAAAAAAGAATTGGGAGCTGAAACATCTTTCAATTTCTAATACGGCATTTTCCCACCAATTACACTCTCTAAAAAGCTACCATGACCATATGCAAAAATGAACATGAAATCAGTATACAGCAAAGGAGAGAAATGACAAACCTCTCAAGATGCCCTTTACAACAATCGGCAGCGATGTCAAGCGTCTGAGCCATTTGATGTCATCCCAGCTGAGAGATGGGTCTATGGCTTGTGCCACATATTCAGCAAGTCCACTGTTGTCTCCATAATTCCTTTTAGGAGAAAATGACAAATCATTGGTTTCAAAGTTCTTCATCCTAGAATAGATACATAAAATGGGTATTAGAGACAACTTCTGTCTGACTTGGGGAAAATAAGTGGGGGTAAGGTGCTCCTTTTCTGATAAGTTGCTCGATCACTTAGGGATTGATTGTCTGCAAATATGGCAGTGTGTTCTAACTGCAGCCATGTGATTTCAACTGGCCACCTAAAGCTTTATTTACATGTGTGTGTGTGTTCATTCAGACAAATCAGTCTGAAGGATCAATGTGTGGCCACGTTCAAACATTTCCTGTTTAGGCCAGTTTACAGCTACAGACAATGGACTGAATGCTATTTTCAAGCAGCTGTACAAATTCATCATAATAGAAACCATTTGTATGGTGCTTTATTGTTTACAAAGGCCTTTTATATACTCATGTTTGTACATTTCTTTCCTTAAGATCTTTTAGAAGGTAACGCTGATTCACTTTGAGTTCCCTTTTATGCAGACAATAGTAACCCAAGTGCAGAATGAGATGGTCAAGAATAAAACTAGCTAGGGGCATTATTTGGGATCTATTTTTTGCTAAGATATGTGGTACTGTGGGCATTGATGGGAATCAGGAAGTGTTTCTCAGCACAGGAGCCTTGTCTTTCCCTCCGTCACTCAGCTGTTGCCTGGTTACTGGCTCAACCTCTGATCTTCCAGAGAATCTTGACAAGAGCCTGGGCTTTCAGATGCTCGCTCACCAAGCACCATCTTTCTTTTTTGTGTTGTTTTTTTGTTTGTTTGTTTGTTTGTTTGTTTGTTTGTTTTTCTGGCTGCTGGGCTTTCATTACACCCAGCAAACTGGAAGTGTGTGCAGACTCACTCTGAGATGTAGTGTTTCTGTGTTCCCAGAATTTGTGTTCCCAGAATCCAGGATCCAGGATCCAGGATCCAGGATCAGGCACAGGATCAATTGCCTACTGTTTTATCTGTCTTCACAAAACTCCCCATTTGCTGGCTTCCTCTCCTCCATTCACTTCCTTAGATGCTAACAGTCTTTACCTTCAGGAAGAGCAACTTAGACTTGATCAGTGACTCCATTTTATTCCCAGGGAGCCACAGCCTAGACATGCCAACACTGAGCTGTTGCCTTTTCCTAGTCTAACACATTGGTCTAGTTTGACCAAGTAGTTCTCTAACTCATGACCGGGACTCTACTGCTAGATCACCCTATACTTGGAATCCTTTATCTTGCCCTAACGTGGCATTCTTGGCTGTATTTGGACAGTCTCCTAAGCTACAGACCAAGTTCATTCTGCTTGCGGTTCTGATCACACCATATGGATCGTTGGCAATATGGATACACAATGGCATCTTCCATGTTGCTGAGCAGCCCACAGCCTGCAAAGTCACTTACAAAATAACCAGGTAAAAGTCTTTTCTGGACTAGCTGGAACTCAGCTTGCTCTCCTACACACCAGTATCTAGGACTTCTTTTTTTTTTTTTTTAATTTATTCTAGACCTTCTTTTCATATTCAACTGGTTGATACTTAGTTCACACTTTAGAGTGTTTCAGCTGAAATTTCTGCTGGAGTAGTTAGTGTGTACAGACCATGCCCTGGACATAGACTTTCAATTCCAAACAACCCTACTCAAGCCACTGTATCCAGGACAATTTTCTCAGTAGGACTGAACACCCTCCTGAAAATTTATGGTTATAAAGGCATAAAACACCACAAACACACGATGCCCATCTAGTTGTTGGCTTTTGATGAAATACCCGAGCTTTCCATTTGTCAAAATTCTTAGGGTTATACAGTATGTCACAGCCCTGGGTCTTCTGTGGTCTCCTTAATTCAAATTGAATTAAGCTTTCTGTTCAATAAATGTGTTCTTGGGAGGGAAACCCAGTCCATTACTTCAATGATACTAAGTTTCAAACATAAATAATGTTGTTAAAGGAAAAGGTGCAACCTATCTGTTCCATCCTAAGACTAGGAGAGAAAGGGAAACCATCTACACGTATCCCTGCCCCCACACCAAACAGGCCGCCGTGTTTCAGCAAGGGTGGGTGAAAGGGTGCAATGGATAGGAAAAAACAGAAACATGGATAAAATTATATAAATGACTGTTGTTATTCTTGGACCGCGCAATGCAGATCAACACTTGAATGAATGCTGCCTTACAGACATCTCAGGGCACAATGAAGCCTTGTTGTTGTTACTGTAAACTTTGTTCAAAGCCAGAAGCCAAGAAAAAGTTTTCAGATATCTTGACAGAGATCCACGATGGAGTGTTTTACCGATGGCTCTCAAAGAAACTGCCATGAATGCTATTTTTATTCACATTATGATGTGTGTGTGTGTGTGTGCGTGCATGTGATCCTTAAAGTAGCTTCTGATATTCATTTTGTAGAGGATGAAAAAGACAACACAGAAATAGTAATGCAACTATTTAAAGCTTAATTTTCCCAATCCCAGGCTGATGAATGTCACAAAGAGACCAAATTTCTTCCTTGTAAGGGAATTGTTATTCCTGGGGTGACCTTTAATATAGTTTTTAATCTGACATAGGAATTGACTTTGATTTTAGTAAGTTAGTCTCAAGCAGCAGTAATAACTACTAAATAGGCTTAAATAATCAATAGTATAACTAATAAAAGTGAGCATTGATGGTAATATATGATTTTATAAATATTACTAATGTAACACTAAGGATAAAGCCACATCTCTACACTGAAAACTTTCAAAATAAAGTAAAACAAGCTAAAAATCAGCTAAGTTCACAAAACAATAAGAGTATGGATGGAGAGAAGGAGAAATTCACAATTTTCCTGAGCTGGGGACAGGCAGCCAGCCTTTCTTCTGTGGTTAGGAAAGCACGGTGTTCAGAACACACCCTAGTCACTTACTCCTTGGTGTGGCCAGGTGCTCTGAAGACAGACTGAGGCCACAAACTTGGAGCTCTAATCCGGTTCAACTCTTTCCTAGTTGTCTTATATTGGGGAAATCCCATTGCATCGATAAATTCTTAGACACTGATTAAACAGTTGCGTGCTAAGCACCTACTATCTACCCTTATTTTAGACATTTGACATTTAGTGAACACCAGTAAATAAGAGAGCAAACTATCTCCATCCATCACAGAGACGATCGACATGTAAACTGGCACGTGCTTTAGAATGTAGGTACAATGCAAAACGAAGGGGCACAATGGGACAGAGTGGGAAGCAAACCAGCTGGTGGAGGCTCGAGTTGACATCTGAAGTGTGGCAACAAGGGCAGATTTCATTGCGAAGCTACTGTAAAGATGAACTCAATAGGGATAGGTTTGACTTGTCATTGCTGTTATAACAAATGACCACAAATGCAGAGCTGCACAATGTCACAAATTTGTGGGCTAGAGATACGGGCTTAGCTGTGAAAAGCACTGGCTTCTCTTGCAAGACTGAGTTTCTATTCTTGGCACCTACCTCCCAGTTCACAACCACCTAGTATCAAGGGATCCAAAGCCCTCTTCTGACCTCAGCGGCACACCATGTATTACATTTGGTTACATGAGGTTACAAAATGGGGTTCTCACTGAGGTCAGCTCAGGGTGTCCTGTCCCTCTGACTACCTAAAGCAGAATAGACAACCTCACTTGTTCTCTCGGTGGGCAGCCCACTTGGACACATGATTCCAAACTCCCCTTTTATCACTTCGGCTCCTCCTCTGGCCGACATTTATGCCTTTTCCTAATAAAAACTCTTCGTTGCATATAACATCTACTGTGATAAAACCAGGTCATCTCCTGTCTCAAGATCCTTAACTCAGTCCCGTCTGGTTTGAGGGCTCGGGGGCGGATACCTTCGGCCTCTATGCATGCCTAACAACAACTGGCTTTTGTCACTTTTCTTTAAACTTTCTGGAACTGTGGGGGGAAGGGGACAGACTAATCTTAACCCAGGTAAATTAATCATCTCCGTGGAGCACAGACAAGACAGAAGGCCCCTGCCTCACAGGCTCCGGAATCTGCGTGATCAACTGGCTTTGCGCCTGCTTCTTCCAGAGTGGAGGATTTCCCTTTTCCCTCTCACTTTCTTGCCAGTTGTAAAGTGCACACACGCGTATGTTTTGCATATAGACCAAGTGGCCATTACCAACCCTCTGAACTCTGTCTGCTCCCTGGTGCCAAGAGTCAGGGCCCTCCCCTCCACCCCGGGCAGAGGAAGTAGCAAAGGCTGGAAGGAGCCAGGCTTAGCGACTCATTCTCCCCTGGATTTCCTGTCTCCTTCCCTTGCCAAACCTCACTTCTGAAAAGCAGGCTTCACCTTCTATGAGTCAGGTCAGTGCAAAAAGAAACTGATTTCATATCGGGCTGTTAACCGATGAGTTTTGGGGTGGAGGGTGGTGAATGAAGCCTCCAGCAGAAGGCTTGACCTCTGGTTTGTGTGTTCTGTCTTTCAAACAGTATGTGCCCCTGAGGCGCTTAGCAGAAGCCCCCATGCTGCCCTGCTGCCCCCAGGACAAGCCCCACCAGTGTACAGCCTCGGGTGGAGTGTGCCCAGCTGCAGGATGTTTCCATGTTCCCCGTAACCTGGATGTGTTGCTCGTGATTTGATCATCTTCAGAACAGAGCTGTGACAAGCTGGAAACCCAGGGCCACTCCTGTGAACACCAGCAGCTGAAAGGGGTCTTTGTTTCACGGCTACCACATCATCTGGGCAGAAGTCCAGGGGCAAAGGAAAAGGGGGGGGAGGGGGAGGGCCTGTGGCTCATCATGTAGTCACCTCCGTGCTGAGAAGTGAGGGGTCCCAGCCGGGATACACAAAAGTGTCCTGCCCACAAGACTAGATATCCACGCATTTGCTACCCAAAGCAAGAGACACAACGTAAATTCCGTGATTCTATTACCGTCGTTGTTGTTAAGAGCAAGGCCATTAGGGAAAAAGGAAAAGGGCCATTCCTTCACAATCGACCAAAGGAAATAAGGAGTGTTTCCTTTAGGAAACTGTAACAGTGTGAAACTAATTATTTTAGAATGTCTAAAAAAAAAAATAAAAGCAAGTAGGCAGTCAAAGAAATAAAGTGAATGGAGATTACATTTTATAGAGGTTGGAGGTTTGCTTTCTGGTGAATCTGGCAGGGTTAGGGTTAGGTTGGCAGCTGCGGTTTTTGTTCTCTTCATCTTATGTGGTATCTGGGTAGCCTGCCCACTAAATCCACATACAGAAATAATATCCCCAAACCTGTCTGGGAGTGACAAACATTCCCATTAATTACATCACCGGTTGATACATAACACAACAGCAAAGTCTGTAAAGTCTCATTGTGAAGTCTCGGGTGTATTGGTGGCTGTGTGAAATGGCAATTTGATAATCTTCCACAAGACTGTCTATAATGCGTACAAAGTTACACTTCTTGTCATCTGTTTCTCCTTATGAGGAAACCTGACATGAGCTTTGCGTCTGTTCATTTTGAATCCTTTCAGAAGGTAGGCGTGGGATGCTTTATCTTTATTCCTTTAACCTTTCGTCCATCTTTAAAACCTTAGTTGTTTCAAAGACAAACAAAATGTAGACAGATTGAGCAGGGGTCCCTGTAGAACAAGCCCTAGACTTCTTGGAAGGCATCCATAAACATCCGACATCAAATGTCACCCATTAAGACAAGAATTTGATGTCTGCTCAGATATGTATAATCCCAAGAGACGTCACACACCTGTCACAATGGATGTGAAAAGTCTAAGAGGTCCTTTTAGTATGAAATATGGAAGGGGAAGCAGTGAGGGAAGACACGGATCGCTGAACAAACCTGGAGTCCTTTCTCACTGACTTCCACTGAGGTCCTAGGTTTTACTCAAGCTGCTTCTACTCCTAAAAATGCTACAAGGGAAGGGACGATTAAATACTAATCGTAGATTGAGTGTTTCAATGAAATCATTACAGTTCAGCTTTGGATCACGTGATACACGGTTTTTGCTGACTTGATGAGTGAGTGAGGAACAAATCTTGATCCACAGATGAACCGCATGCACACAAAATGAAGTAGAAGATGATGGATCAAATACATGGCTTCCTTTTCCTCCATGTTTTTGTGCCTTATTTTTACATCTTCCTAGCTCACTTTCTGCCTAATACAACTAAAATTAAAATATGAATGTGTGTCTTTGATTTCCATGAAGAAACAGGGTACCAGGATCACAATAAAAAACTGTAGCCTATACAAAACTCATCTGGATGTCCTCTCATACAGCCCACGGCCCTAATGCATCCTAGTAATAAAATCTTTTTAATTTTACAAATATATAGTAATCCAGCCAGGCGGTGGTAGTGCACGCCTTTAATCCCAGCACTCGGGAGGCAGAGGCAGGCGAATCTCTGTGAGTTCGAGACCAGCCTGGTCTACAAGAGCTAGTTCCAGGGCAGAGGCAGGCGGATCTCTGTGAGTTCGAGACCAGCCTGGTCTACAAGAGCTAATTCCGGGACAGGCTCCAAAACCACAGAGAAACCCTGTCTCGAAAAACCATATATATA